TGTCCGTCCAACTGGCTATCTTCAAGGAGGGCTGGACCACCTCCGAAAGCCTTTGAACAGATTCGCATAGCCTAGTAAAAGATTTTAAAGTCACTGTTCACCAACAATGTCTTATATTTGTTATGCATTTCGTTGATGCAGATTCAGACAAGGGCCTCTTCGGTGACATTTTATTGGCACTCGATGGCTTTTTCACAGAACTTGTCAATGTATATCATTAGGGCTTCTCTGTCATCCTGAATAGTCTTCATCAGNAAAGTCACTGTTCACCAACAATGTCTTATATTTGTTATGCATTTCGTTGATGCAAATTCAGACAAAGGCCTCTTCGGTGACATTTTATTGGCACTCGATGGCTTTTTCACGGAACTTGTCAATGTATATCATTAGGGCTTCTCTGTCATCCTGAATAGTCTTCATCAGGGAAAGTACTATAATACACTGCTCAACATGGAAAAAAATTGCGTAAAATTGTGCAACCAAGTTGTCCCAATCCCTCACCGATTCTACCGAGAGGTTAACATACCAAGTGAAGGCCTTGTCCTTGAGGGACTTGGAATCATCCAAAAAGGCTCGTAAAGCACATAGTGGCCAAGACTATCAAGATAATGGGTAATGTGCTCCCTAAGGTTGCCATTTTTTCCATCGAACTTCTCAAACTTCGACGGTGAGTACCCTGCAGGATACATAACTTGTTGCACAGTCGGGGTAAACTTGAACCTTATGTTCATGGTTGTTGCCATGGGCTCCTTTTGTCTATCCAGTAAGGCTTGTACTTGGGCCAACATGACAAATCCAACACTAGGCACTGGTCATTCTTTGCTAGCCGAGTATGGCGTTCAAGCGGCTGCTGATGAAAACGAGGTGGTGGTGATGGGGGCCGAAAATACTAAAAGCATGGTTACGCGAATAATGGAAAAAATAGTTTGATTCTACACTTGAGTAGTTGTCGGTGTTGTTGTAGAGATGGTGAGAGGAGCCATTTAGGAAGCTATAAGGCCATAGTTATAGCCAGTCGCAACGTGCTCACATCTGAGAGTCGTTGGAAAGTTTAGGAAAGGTTCACCAGTCATGGTTATGGGTCTAGCCATAGTGGGTACCTCAGGAGTTGTGACATTTTGAGGGCCCGTTGTAGCTGATTGTTGTAGAGGAATTAGAGATCTCGTTTCAGTACTTTGTTGCAAAAGTGCTAGAAGGTTGCCTGTGGTAGTTTGCTGTGAGGGAACTAGAGAGTCAGTTGCATCAATTTGCAGCGGAAGTGGTAGGGGTTCACTGGTAGGGTTTTGCAAAGTTAAACCATAAGGACTTGACTTCCGTGGTGTACCATTATTGCCCCATAGTGCCATTGGAAGAGATGTCGGCAAAGTTGAAGGTGGTGGCATCGAGTACTACAAGAGCAATGGCAATAACATCAGTGGGTTTTGCAAGCTAGGTGACCGAAAATTCATCTGGGCTTGAATCATCTACATTACCGCAGTCATCTGCTATTGGAGAGTTTGCATGTTGTGCAGAGCTTGCACCATTATGGAGGGCCCTGGCACCTCCGGAGCCCTTCGGCTCGTAGAGGAACCATGGCTATCCTCGCGCTGGGGTGGCCTTTTTTGTTGTTCGCCTTCCTTGTCGTTGTTGTTTTCGGTCATCATATTAGACAATACTCTTCCACTTCAAGTGGTATATAGGCATAGGCTAGCGAGTACAAATCTCCCCAGTGGAATCACCAAATGTAGAAAAGGAGTTAAAAGAGGTTGATACGCGTGTCTATGCCAAGAGTAATCGAAGGAGATGAGTAGGATAAGTGTATAGGATGGAAAGAACTCGAGCAGCCTGTTAACGAAGGGACGAACCAGTTGTGCAGAGGGTAGGTGAAAAATGCTCTCACCAGTCAGGGAAAAATCATCTTCTGCAGTGGGCAAGTAATATGGGCATTTATAGTAAAATGTCCAGGCAGATCGGGTTACCTTCCACAACCCCTATCACCGTGCGAACCCACAACAGCCTCAATCACGACAATACCAGTGATCATTAATGCGAGTCATGCGTCCCAACATTAACTAGGCAGATGTGATATTTTCCCAAACACAACTTGGACGTGGCCTTGAGGAAGATGCAACAATCAAGGCAAGAGCAGACTCTCAAGGTCCACGACCGCAATTGGTCACCGTGGGACCATGACCTCGAGAGGGCCATATCCGCGATGCCCCCAACACGCTCCTACCCAGGTTCATTCTTTTCCTCTCTAGACCCTTCCTCGAGACCTTTGTCAAAGTGCCTAATAAAGGAAACTCACATAGTTTCGGTCCTTCAACCACCAATCCACATGTCCCATCATTCTATATGTTAATGTGGACCAATAACCCCAGTTACCTTAGGAGTCTCTCCGGATCCCAGTCAAGTACATCGCAACGGGCAATGAGTCATACACTGGGAGGCCTACTTGAGCAGACTAAACCTTCAAAACCCTGCCCTAGGCTGAGGTTGACAATCATACTCATCCACCTTCATTGCTCAGTTCTCCCTTAAGGAGGGTCATACTTCCATGTCCCTAGGTGGGAACATCTCCTCTTAGTCTAGTGGGCCAGTCGAGCAATAGTGTCCAATCGGTTGAGGATACCACTTCCGCAGTGGGGAAGACGAGTTGCACAGAGATTGTCTCATACTTTTGCGATTCCACTTTTGTCCACCCTTGGTTAAGAGTCCACTTTTTCACTTCCAATGCGATGGGGATGTATGTCGCCCTATTGCGATATTGTGCCTGAGAGCGTTGCGCCCAAAGGGCATCACGCTCAGGGGGGGCATCACGCCAAGAGGGTGTCGCATAGAGGTTGCCCCATACTTCTGTGATTCCACTTCTATCCACCTTTGGTGAAGAGTCCATTTTGTCACTTCTAATGTGATGGAGATGTATTTTGCCATGATGTGGCATTGTACTTGAAGGCGTCTCGCCCAGGGGTGTCACGCTTGTCATTGTTATCTATACCAGTCCATCTGAACTCTATCAGACATCATTTTCATATCAACTGATAATTGTTTTCATTTGTCTTGTTATGATAAAGACATGTGTCTTTTAAGTTTTTTGAGTACTATCGCATGCAAGGAAAAGAATCACAAAGGGAAGACTGGCAAGTGTGGATGGTTGTGGACGAGAAAAATGCGTCTCTTGCATACATAGAAGATCAAGTCATAAACTGGGCATGACTTGGCACATTAGCACAAACAAGGCAATATTGTGGGCACACAAAGAGAGACATTGACTGACCAAAGAAGCATTTGAGTATAGTTAGTAGCTGACTCATGAGGCAATTATTGCTCTGGTATGTATAAAATATTTTTGCCGATGACAGATGACCTGGTAGTTTGTAGCAAAGCATTATAGACTCTTGTGGCATTATAGTGTAGCGCCTACACGCTAGTAGCTAGGGTTTTCAAAGGAAAGGTCTTATTGGCCTAGACTGGTTGAGATTAGCATCTCCCTAGAGAGTTGGAGTGTAACGGTCGTTTCACCTCATAACATCATTGCTAGAGCTGCAAAATAACAAAGTTGAGGCTTACTGATCCTTAAATTGCTATCAAGTATTGTTCGTGTATGTTAATCTCATTAATATACTGCAATTTAGAATGGGTTTGCTTTCATAATAAAAATGAGAATCTTATCGGTAAGACTTTAACACACTGGACCTCTAACTATTTTGATCATGCGGCTTATCCTAACCCATGAGAGTAGTGTAATAGGTATTCGGTATCTTGTATTTGGTGTGCGTTAGCATGTTCGACATCATTTGTGGTGGATTGTTTCTGGGGTTCATTTTTCTGTCAATTTGTGAATAAATTGTGAATGATTTCTTTTTTTAATGTGTTGAATTGTCAATTTGAATGATTTTGGGAGTTTGGATTGAATTGGGTCGGCAGAGGTGTAATTTGGTGTGTTGTGGGTTTAATTAGAATCAGATTAACCACACACGTGCGTGCACACATAGACACACTAATATATAGTAGTCATAAACCAAATAAGTCACATATTCTTAGCATTTATACACATATAACTTCAAACATAAACATCTGTATGTATGTATCTGACTTCTTAAGCTATCCTTCCTACCAAGGAAATTTTTGTCTTGAAACAAAGATAGAACTATCCAACTTCCCTTCTTTTCCCAATGCCAAAGTGATCTTTCATGAAACATAATCAATCTGCAAAATTAAGAAACAAGCATTTTAATATGAATGGTTCTGAAACTTATAAATAACTGAAAACTGCAACTAATACAGGGGTGTAGTTGTCTATAAGCTCACTTGTATGTACAATCTAACATCCAGTTCTGCTAAAAAATCCATTGAATAAAGTTGTAAAAAAACCTCAACATTTGTAGTCACCTCTTTTTCTCATTAACTCTTATTCAAAGAAAATAAATAAATAAGCTTAATGAGTGCTAGGAATATGATTGAGATCAGAATAAGTTAATTTCCAGTTCAAAAGGTAGTTCAACCCCAAGAACACTTTGACCTACTTCCATTGTGGGTCATGGTGCTAAGGCAGTCCAGTTTGATTTTGATCGAACAAAGTACAGCCATTTAAAGGGAAAAAAAAACTACAACTGTTTGAAAATTCATTCCTTATTTTTCACGATTACTAATGGTGTGTTTGATTGTGGGGTAATTTTGTGGTATTGACTAAAAAAATTGCATTTAGAAGATAATTGAATTGTTAGTGTTTCAAACACATAATCTTGAAGCCCACACCAAGGAGCAAATTAGTTACCACTAGAGTGGATATCTAATCCTATATGAGAGTTGGGATTGATGAGGGGGAATGGTTTAATGGTTTAAAAGGTCAAAGTGCCCTCATAACAAGTGTAATGCTATGCAATCTAATGACACATCATGTTAATAGGTCCCTTCTGCAATAAAATGTGGGGCATCTCAAATAATGTGTAATGTCACATTGTTTACGATTCACTTTTTATTAAATTATTTAGATATATAATATTATCCTTATAATAAAATTAAAAAAATTTATCCATAATTGTCATGGTCGCCACCAATCCATCGCCACCTTCACCACCACCACTCATTGACCTACTTCCAGAGTCAAACCACCTATTAGGGGTTAATATCCAACCCCGTCTTGTCCAATCTCACCTCTTTATCCCCTTGTGAGGAATTGAACTGAATTAGACTTGTTTATGACCCCTTCCAATTTTACCCACAACCGAAGGTATCCTAGCTATAATATTATTATTATGATTATGGTAATTGGTAAACTCCAGGCAATTAAAGCCCAATAAAAAATTTACGATTGTAATGATGATCATGATAAAAGGTACCGTAGCTGCGGCGCTGCAGACTGGATTCTTGAAGGTTGGGCTGAGATGGCTGAAGGCGATACGGGTAGGCCCGAGGCGGGAGACTTGCAAGTTGAAGCACACCACTGGGCTGTTCTTCTCCATAAAATGGGAACTGTTCCAGCACTTGCTGCTGTCCCAATAGCTTCAGTTCAGTCACAGCNTTATGCAATCTAAATCATTTGTCAAAAAATAAATGTCAAATGATGTGACACCGCACATATCATGTTAATAGGTCTCTTCTGCAATAAAATGTGGGGCATCTCAAATAATGTGTAATGTCACATTGTTTACAATTCACTTTTTATTAAATTATTTAGATATATAATATTATCCTTATAAAAAAATTAAAAAAATTTATCCATAATTGTCATGGTCGACACCAATCCATCGCCACCTTCACCACCACCGCTCATTGCCCTACTTCTAGAGTCAAACCACCTATTAGGGGTTAATATCCAACCCCGTCTTGTCCAATCTCACCTCTTTATCCCCTTGTGAGGAATTGAACTGAATTAGACTTGTTTATGACCCCTTCCAATTTTACCCACAACCGAAGGTATCCTAGCTATAATATTATTATTATGATTATGGTAATTGGTAAACTCCAGGCAATTAAAGCCCAATAAAAAATTTACGATTGTAATGATGATCATGATAAAAGGTACCGTAGCTGCGGCGCTGCAGACTGGATTCTTGAAGGTTGGGCTGAGATGGCTGAAGGCGATACGGGTAGGCCCGAGGCGGGAGACTTGCAAGTTGAAGCACACCACTGGGCTGTTCTTCTCCATAAAATGGGAACTGTTCCAGCACTTGCTGCTGTCCCAATAGCTTCAGTTCAGTCACAGCTGCCTCTTGATCATGATGCTCCATCTCTGCCTGTTGCTTCTGAATGTGATTGCTCATCAACTACTCCACATGTTTTCAAGTACTGTTAGTGAATTCAAATCTCCATATACATATGTTCTTTTCGTTTACTGATTATTAAGGTTATTGTAAACCATCCAATTGGTGGGATGCGAGAGCAGTAGTACGATTTTTCTACAATTTTGATTAAACAAAAGTATCGGAAGTCATAACTCAATGGGATCTAGTTACGATTTAAAAAACCATGTCAGGACTCAATAAAGCCAACATAGGATTAAAAAAATCAGGTGACATCTCAATGAAGTCAATTTAGGAGTGATTCAAAAAAATTGAGATTATTCCAACATTTTACGGTTGATTCATGTTTCTAAGGATCAACCCTCAATTTTTAGACCTCATTGATCTGTAACTTTGATCTCATTGTACTAAAAAGTTATGCTTCGGTACTATGGATTTTTTCTTAGATTAAGAAATAGGGTTTATTTTCATGAAGTTTCTTTACAAAGACAACCAACTATTTGAACAAAATTAAAAGGATCAGCTGATACTCCAAATTAATCACTCACCCAGTGGTACATCTCTTGGTTTTCCTTCTCCAACAGTTTTTCCTAAAATTTAAACAACAGAAGGAAAAGTTAACAGTATTCTGAGAGATAAAAGAGGAGAGATAAAGGAGTTGGTGTGGGAGAAGTGGGAGTAAAATTACTGTTCTCTTCAGATTGTCAAGCTGCTGCTGCAAGAGTNTACAGTATTCTGAGAGATAAAAGAGGAGAGATAAAGGAGTTGGTGTGGAAGAAGTGGGAGTAAAATTACTGTTCTCTTCAGATTGTCAAGCTGCTGCTGCAAGAGTTCAAACTGCATGCACATTATTTATAAACCAAATTTAGCTGCAATTCAAACTCATATCAATATTCTATCATAATTGGATGTCATTGAACATTTTGGCAGACAAATACAATGAAATCTTCTCCCACAATTGATAATCAAATATTCTATCATAATTAATTATCAAAATGCTGAGTACAAGTCGATATTGCGGTATGGTCCTTTGGTTAATAGACATCACCTTACAAACGAANAATTGGATGTCATTGAACATTTTGTCAAACAACTACAATGAAATCTTCTCCCACAATTGATAATCAAATATTCTATCATAATTAATTATCNGCAGACAAATACAATGAAATCTTCTCCCACAATTGATAATCAAATATTCTATCATAATTAATTATCAAAATGCTGAGTACAAGTCGATATTGCGGTATGGTCCTTTGGTTAATAGACATCACCTTACAAACGAAATTTTTTTTTTTTTCCAAATATTTTGAAACTTCTCTACATTCATCAATAATAACAGTTTTGCTCAATCTAATAAATCCAAGGGCACTCTACACTAGTAGTCTACGAAATACGAAATTAGCTTTATTTTAGTCCCTTGACTTCTAAATTGTATTATTTTAGTCTTTAAAGTTTTGGATTTATTTTTCAATGATTCAATCACTAACTTCTATCTAAATAATTCAGGCCAGGGAAATGTGCTTTATAATGGATAACACATATCCACTTTCGTTTATTGGGCATAAATTAATAAAAAAACCTTTAGAAACAAACTAACATTCTTAAGAGCCAACGTAACACAATTGAAATCTAAGGGACCAGTGAGGCTAAATGTATACAGAAAGAATCACCAAGGTATTTTACCCAATCCAGCATTCTATGATTTATGTACATTTGAGAACTGTGGAGACCCAAAATTATTTGAGCAAGTGAAAATGAAAGATCAGGAGAGGGTTTCAAATTAAACATATATATGATGCTTAAATTTGTTAGCAAACCTCTACAGTGGTGATGAAGAACATTCAAAATGTTAAAAATAATAGCAAAACAATACCTTTCTAGCTCGGACCTTGTTAACCGAGTGTTCTAATTGTTGTTCAAGTTCATCCAACTCCTCGAGTCGAGCAGAACTCAAGTCATCGCCTTTGTAGCGTTGAATACTCAATTGAAGATTAAGGGTTTCGTTTTTCACTCGTGATAACTCATGGTACATTTGTTCCTACAATTTGCAAGCCAAAAGAATCACATGGTACCAAAAAAAAAACAAATAAATATATAGAAGTTTGTATTGTATTGAAGTAGCTCTAGGCCATTTTAACATTGTAACTACTATGTGTGCGGTTAAGNAACAAATAAATAAATAGAAGTTTGAATTGTATTGAAGTAGCTCTAGGCCATTTTAACATTGTAACTACTATGTGTGCGGTTAAGTCTTACCCTATTATCACTCTGTGGAATAGAAGTACCCGTAGTCTTCAGATACCTTTCTATGATATGCCCCATGCTGTAGATTAGAGAATCCGTAGGAATGTGGGTAAGCTCAATAGAGTTACATAGAATATTACATAGAAATAGAATACTTTTTTGGGTCGTGGAACGAAAATCACAAGTAAAAATAATCTAGATTCATTACACTGAAGCAATATGAGTACCAGACATTCCACAGTTGACAGAAATTCCAGCCAAATCGAATCCATATTATCGGGAACATTAACAAATGAACGGAACTGCACATATATATTTGGTTTCAACATATTAATCTAGTAGTAATTGATTATCTGGCTTAAGTAACAGCTCATATGGAACTAGGAATTATATATTTAGTTACAAGTTCGGCCATCCCACTTACCCCCTCTTTTGTTTATTTTTGATTTGTTAGAGTATACTTGTATACATGTACTTACTGCAATCAACTCAGTTACCCGGAAAAATACTTTTGGAACCCAAATCTATACTAAAGAATGGAGTATAACCCAAATTATAAACCCACCACCAGGTTTATATATGCCATATATGTTGCACATTAGTTTCATAAGCCAGTTCTTAACCATAATATCTCAATAACAATACATATGCATAGGAATAATGGTGAATATGCATACATCTCATCTCGAAATTTTATAATGGTGAAACTATGCTTCTTTTTTTTTTTAATCTTTTTCCTTTGGCCAGTCATATTTAAATTACCCTCTCTACATTGTAGGTCCATTCTTTTTCCTCATCATACTTTATTATCACTAAATTATAAATTCAATAACTTGGAATTAAATTCTAACTACAAGGTGGTGGATATTGATCAACAAAAAAGTAAGAGAATAATCCCTATCCTGCTTAAGTTAGACATTAATGCTAAGTTTTGTACAATTGTTGGGAAACCCTAATTTAGCAGAACCATGAAGAGTAAGTCAAAGCACTCAAGTCAGTCAAACTGAAATTCTGATGAGGCTAATAATACAGAACTCAGATGTAAGGGCATCAGATATATTCACGAGAGAGAGAGAGAGAGAGAGAGAGAGGGGGGGGGCAAGTAAGAAAAAACATGACAAAGAGAGCAGTTTAAAAGCTTCAAAGAAAAAAAACCTCCATGCCCAGGAAGGGAAGTAAAAACATGTTGAAAGTCCACAAATTAAGCTCTTATGGGCAACATATACATTCAGGACACACACATGCATACACTTTATTTATGAAACTGGAACAAAGAACTCTAACCATACACAATTATCTTTCGAGATAGACGCAGAAACAAGAAAACCCTTGTAAACCATCCAAAATATAAAGATCATTTGAAGCAAAAAATAAATTNGACACAATTTTCTTTCAAGATAGACGCAGAAACAAGAAAACCCTTGTAAACCATCCAAAATATAAAGATCATTTNTACACAATTATCTTTCGAGATAGACGCAGAAACAAGAAAACCCTTGTAAACCATCCAAAATATAAAGATCATTTGAAGCAAAAAATAAATTTAAAAAATGAGATGTTGAAACTGAACCTCAGTGGGTGACTGCAGTACTCGAACAACTTCCCTTTGTTTGAGAAGATGATGAGCCCGATCTGGGCGTCACAAAGCACTGAAAGTTCATGTGTCTTCTTGATCAGCCCTGTTCTGCGCTTCGAAAAAGTGACTTGCCTGCTAGTGTTGTTCTCAATCCTCTTCACCTCGATCTTTCCCCTTCCCATAATTTTCTGCAATCGGATTTACATTGTCTTTTGTTTAGCAGTGAAAAGAACAAAACAAAACCCTTTTTGTAGTTGAAGTTTCTGGTTTAAGGAAAGGAAAGATCCAAGGATTATCTTTAAAATCCGAACCTATAAGTTCGAATTTTTGGAAAAAACATGTAAAATATATATCCTAATTTGGATTAACTTGTTTGGATGAAGGGACTAAAATACATAAGAAATAAAAACATGCAAAGCACATATCCTAATTTGGATTAACTTGTTCGTATGAAGGGACTAAAATATATGAGAAACTGTCATCAGAAATGGAAATTTGATTTTCCACGAAAAAAGTCCGAATGGAAACTTACTGAGATTTTTGCACAAATCTTGAACAAAAGATGGGAGAAGAGAGAGAGAGAGAGAGTATGGATAGGAAGGTTGAGCTTTAGACTATGTTTACCTAGTCCTTCTGTGCTTTCTTGTTGGCTTTCAGGGCTTGGATAGAAGCGTGTATAAGCTGATCTACTCTATATGTAGTGTGTACAGACCACCTTACTTCCTGTATGCCCATCTTTTTGGCAAAATTAAATTTATTCCGAAAAAAAAGTTACATACAACTCAAAAGTTACTGGAGGTATCATGTATGTTCTTTCTGATCATGAATCATGTGTCATGCATTTTGTTTGTGGAGTCATATTCATGCATGCACCAAGTATATCTCCAGGTATAATATCATCTATTGTTTGTTCGATAAAACATTTTGTAAGTCTATTCCTGCATATAACAATACAGTAAGAATAAGGCTAGGTACCCCAAAAAAAAAAATGATACCACAGATCCTTAATTGATTTATTGTAGCAATTGGTTAGTAAAGTGACAATAAGAAAGTTCTATTGGTTCTACTTTTTCATTCAATGAGAAAAAGAAGTATAGTACCAAAAAAAAAATTTGTATAGTAGAGTTAGTCCCTAATAGTAATGCTGCATGTATGCATGTCCATGAAAAGTTCGACAGAAAGATTGCCTTCTGGGGTAAAATCCAGACCATTGATTGAGTATGAGTGCATCAATGGATGGTTAAGATGGAATGAACAAAATGTTGTGAGAGAGGTAATACTTCATTGTCCTTCTATATGTGAAAGCATGAACAAAATGTTGGTGTTGACGTATAACCACCACTGCATGCAGTTATCTGCCAAGCTACCAGCTTCCTGAGTTTTGCCAATTTCGGAATCTTTGAGCAGTGCCCATAATTCAAAGGTTTTCCAAAAAGGAAAGTAAAGTGGGGTTGGCTGAAACCCCAGATTTAAATGGAAAAGACAAAGGGTTACAATCCCTGAGACTCTGGGGGTGGACACACAGAGAGAGAGAAAAAGAGAGAGAGAGACTACCTCACTTCACTTTCTAGTGGGCTCAAGCTGAATCTTATTCTTCCATTGCCCACCAAACACTAAGCTCCATCTTACTTTTATATGTTGTTTTCCACAGAACACCAGTCAAATCCTTGACTAAACCTATTCAACCATTTGTTTATGGGAAGTTATAAGCAGCAAAACCTAATCAAGCTCTTCAATTCAACCTAGCTAGCTAGCTTTTACTTAAGGATTCTCATCAGAAATTATGGTACCAACAGGTTTTCATTTTTTCATTTCGATAATCTACTGTTTGTATCCGATTAATAGTGTGTATAAAAATATAAGTATATGTAAACATGTAAAAGGTGCAAATTTAGGCCAATATATGTCTGTAATCACATATTTTCGAGAAAAAAAAAACATTCATAGTAGCTTTTGCTACAACACTTGCATAGAACATATCAAACATAAAGGTTTGTTTGGCAATAACACTATTGTTTTTGGTGGAGAACGGTAACATTTTTTTCAATAATATTGATTAGAACTAATCATCTCACTCAATCTGGTGGTCTAATCCATTGTTATCAACATATCAACAGTGAGTTCCATGTAATGTTGGGAGCTACTGTTAATTTAACAATAACACGAAATCAGATCAACGTTTCAGCCAAGATGATTAAGTATTTTTTTTTTTTCGCTTTTTTTGAAAGTTAGAATGTAACCATGCCACTTGAAGAAGAATTTATTTTCTTCCTTTTGCTCCTCAATTTTAGGTGTAAGAACGTTTGGTTTCGACCAATGTGAAATTGGACACAAAACTTCTATAGCTTTTGACTTTTATATCAATGGAATCAAATAACCCCAATGTTTGGTTAATTTTGCCTTAAAAGTAACCTTGGTGCCAAATTGATGAGTTGCCCTTCTTGTTGGTAACTAAAGCTAGTTTTAGACTTCCACAAGTTCAAGTTCGGTCATACAGCATTCATGCACTTCCTTTTATTCCATAGAGTCTTCTTCGTCTTCAGCAAGCGTATGAAAAGGCAAGAAAGGAGAGTGTCACATGCCCATATGAAATTTGATAGTACGTCAAAGCAAATTTGTCCTTGACTAAATAGCTCAGTATAGTGGGTACTGAATTGATAACTTTATTTTTGCTTATTCATTTTTTTTTGGATGGTGAGAGGGAGGGGGAGGGGTTGTGGAAGATTTGAGTTCGAGTCCCAAACCCCTTATGATAGATGCACAGAATACTTACCCAACAGCCATCCTATAACTACTGCTAAGTAACCAAGTGGGAAAAGTCTAAACTTTTTTGCCTGGAAATAAGTCGCTGAGAAAAGTCTCCCGCCACCAACACTTGCGTTTTCACCAAAAACAAATTGGGAGAATTATACCTAAATCCTAAGAGGTTTGTCAATTAATCACTTAGACTCTTGATATTTGAAATATTATACACAAACTCCTCAAAATTTGTACGCACGTAACACTTAGACTCTGATATAAATATATTTGTTAATAAATTATACTTAAACCCCTTTGAAATTTGTAGGTATATAATATTTAGATTCTTTAAGTTTAAAATGTTATACTTAGACCAACAATACTTCAATTAAAGATAAAATATCAAATATTTTAAATTTTACAATTAAAATTCATGTTCTATTGTAACATTTATTGAAAAAAAAATCAAAAATAAAAATTTAATTTTTTCTTAAAAAATTGTAATTAGTATACAAACTGTATATTGGAATTTAACTCGGACATTTAAACGACCAAATTAATATACCAAACTACCTCAATTAAAGCTAAAATATATTGTATCCTTTACAGTTTGACCCCTTGTTTATTTTTTTTAGTTTTATTCTAATAGATAGTATAATTATGTACTAACTATAAATTGTTTTAAAAACCTAGATTTTTATTTTTGATTTTATTTCAATAAATGATATAATAGAACATGAATTTTGGTTATAAAATTTATATTCTATTATGAATGACTTAGATCTATTTGATTTTTTTTAGTTTTATTCCAATAGATAGTATAATTGTTTACTAATTACTATTTTTAAGAAAAAAATTAAATTTTTAATTTTAATTTTATTTCAATAACTAATACAATAGAACATGAATTTTGATTGTAAAATTTAAAATATTTGATATTCTATCTTTGATTGGAGTATTTTTTGTTTAAGTATAATTTTTTAAACTCAAGGGGTCTAAATATTATATATCTACAAACTTCATAGGGGTTTAAGTATAATTTATTAACATATATATTTGCATTAGAGGTCTAAATGTTATGTGCATACAAACTTTAAGAAGTTTGCGTGTAATATTTCAAATGTCAAGGAATTTGAGTGATAAAATGACAAATTTTAAAGGATTTAAATGTAATTTTTCCAACCAAATTTGGAGAAATTATTTTTTTAGAAAAAAAAAATGTCGGTACCGTACAACCATTATAAGTTTTGTGGAATTTTTTTTATTTGGGAGTTATTTATAACTTTTAAAGATTCTTTATAATTTATATCAATCATTTATAACTTTGTGGATCATTTACAAATTTTGGGGACCATTTATAATTTGAGGTTACTTTGAGATCGATCTTAAAATTTTTACAATCGATTCTAGAGTTTCTTCAAAAGTTACAAACGTTCCTGAAAAAACTATAGTTTAAACTATAAAAATTATAAAATAATTCTTGAAAGTTATAATTTTTTTAATGTAAATAAACCAAAAAAAATTATATCTCCGTCCACAAAATTTGATGAATGGTAGGAAATTTTTTTTCCCGTACCATACACTTTTCCTTTGAAAAATGCTGTTTTACTTTTTAATCATTACTTAGCTGCTCTTTGGAAGGCTAAGATCAAAATGGCACAAAGTTAGTGTGTTAAAATCAGACCTTACTGTCAAAGAAATTAAAAAGAATCATCTAAAAATGAGGGAAGGAAGAGGGTGATCAATACATAAGTGAACAATTAATGTATTGATCAGGTCAGAGCTACACAATATCATGATATTTGTGGGTTCTTGGCCTTTGCTCGAGAGAAAAACACCGCCTCTATTCATTCATAAATCTCTGTAAACAGTATAAATTTTTCTTATTTTGATTCAAAAAAAGTCTCAAGAAAAAATCAGAAAAGGCTTGTAAAACACTACTTGAAGAAACGTCAGGACAGGATAATATAATTTTTAATGGGACAATACAATTCTAGATCCTCNCCATTTCACTGTCAAAAACGTCATGAAATCCCACTTGGCTCCTGCATTATATGAGGATTAAAACAGAAATATAGTAGAAAGAATAATTTTTAAAAAAAATTGTACTTTAGTTACTAGAAAAGGTAACTTGGGGACCAGGGAAGTTTTACGCCCACTTCACATGGAATTACAGTCCTCTTGATGGGTATGATGCAGAGCATCACCATGTATGGAAGCCACCCATATAACAAGAGAGATGAAATCCATTGTGTTGTGTTTGAATGGCAATTGGAACACTTAAATCTACTTAATAATGGGTCAATACAAATTTAACTANGCATTTCACTGTAAAAAACGTCATGAAATCCCACTTGGCTCCTGCATTATATGAGGATTAAAACAGAAATATAGTAGAAAGAATAATTTTTTAAAAAAATTGTACTTTAGTTACTAGAAAAGGTAACTTGGGGACCAGGGAAGTTTTACGCCCACTTCACATGGAATTGCAGTCCTCTTGATGGGCATGATGCAGAGCATCACCATGCATGGAAGCCACCCATATAACAAGAGAGATGAAATCCATTGTGTTGTGTTCGAATGGCAATTGGAACACTTAAATCTACTTAATAATGGGTCAATACAAATTTAACTATATACGACTTATACTCGACATAGATAGAAACACTACTGTACATTGACCGGGTATGGATCGGGCAGGATGGCACACTTCAGTCCAGTTCTATTCTTAAATCAACTCACATCTCAACAGGTATTCAATGGAGGGGTTAAGAGGCTTCAATAGAACTGCAAAGAGGGCTGCTTAGTCATTAGTCCTTGCCCGTTTCTACACTATGGTTCGAATCTTACCGTTCTCGAATTCGAACCTTACCATTGCCATATCCTAAAAAAAAAATTGCAAATAAGAGAATTTACTTTAAAAAGTGCCTCAAGAAATATGGCCACAACCAGAAAAAATAAAGGATTAATTGCAAATTGTACTCCGAAAGATAGTGAAAATCTTTATTTGTACCCTCACAGGTCAAAATTTTTAATTTGCATCCTTGAAGATAAAAATTTGTATCAATGTGCACCCCAAAGATAAAAATCTCAATTTACACCCTCAAAGATAGAAATTTGTATCAATGTGNTCAGAAAAAATAAAGGGTTAATTGCAAGTTGTACTCCGAAAGATAGTGAAAATTTTAATTTGTACCCTCACAGATCAAAATTTTCAATTTGCATCCTTGAAGATAAAAATTTGTATCAATGTGCACCCCAAAGATAAAAATCTCAATTTTCACCCTCAAAAATAGAAATTTGTATCAATGTGCACCTAAAATTAAATTAATAAATTATATCTAGATCCCCTTATGCTTGTCATTTAATCATTTAGACTCCTTCACATTTAGAATATTACTCCTATATTTCATGACGTTTGTGCACGTGCAATATGTAACCCCTTTTAATTTATATCTGTTAATATAACCGTTAAAAAATATAATTTTATCTTAATAAAAAATTATAATTTCATATNTTTAATCATTTGGACTCCTTCACATTTAGAATATTACTCCTATATTTCATGACATTTGTGCACGTGCAATATGTAACCCCTTTTCATTTATATCTGTTAATATAACCGTTAAAAAATATAATTTTATCTTAATAAAAAATTATAATTTCATATTACCCTTCATTTTATGAGTTCGATATACTCTAAATTTCAAAATCAAGTTTACCATTATAATTTATAATTTTTTATTAGGATAAAAGTATATTTTTTAATTGTTATATTAACAAATATCAATGAAAGGAGATTACGTGTTACACGTGTACAAACATTATAAGATGTAGGAATAATNATGAGTTCGATATACTCTAAAATTCAAAATCAAGTTTACCATTAGAATTTATAATTTTTTATTAGGATAAAATTATATTTTTTAATTGTTATATTAACAAATATCAATGAAAGGAGATTACGTGTTACACGTGTACAAACATTATAAGATGTAGGAATAATACTCTAAATATGAAGAGACCCAAATGATTAAGTGACAAACATGAAAAAATCTAAGTATAATTTATTAATTTAATTTTAGGTACACATTGATACAAATTTCTATCTTTAAGGGTGTAAGTTGAGATTTTTATCTTTGGGACTGCACATTGATACAAAATTCTATCTTTGAGGGTACAAATTAAAATTTTTAATCTTTNTTCTAAATATGAAGGGACCAAAATGATTAAGTGACAAACATGAAAAAATATCTAAGTATAATTTATTAATTTAATTTTAGGTGCACATTAATACAAATTTCTATCTTTAAGGGTGCAAGTTAAAATTTTTATCTTTGGGGCTGCACATTGATACAAAATTCTATCTTTGAGGGTACAAATTAAAATTTTTAATCTTTGGAGGTGCAAATTAAAATTCCAACTATCTTTCAGGGTGCAACTTGTAATTAACCCAAAAATAAAAATGCACACATCCTAAACATCGTTCGAACAAATTTTGTAACATTACACTGGTGTTAACTAGATTGTGACCAAATAGAGTAACATGATATGGAACAAAATACAAAAACTACTAAACTTACGGTGCCTGTGATCAAAAAATCTATTTTTTTTCAACAAAATTCCTGTTCGAACTCTATGATCTTAGGATAAACATGAGGGAGGGGGGGAAATATCGCAGCAGCAAATGCTCGTTACAGGAGCTTGGCAATGCAGCATTTCTTGTTGCTCGTTAGATCATTTGCTGATGTAGATCAGCAGCCTGCTGAGCTAGCTCCACAACCATGGCCTCATCGAAAAACTTGTTGATGCTCACATCTTCACTCATTCCCTGCCAAACCAAATGCAAAATTCAACAATTTAGCAACCACCAAGGTCTGTCAGCACATAATTATAAAATAATATTCTCGGACCATATTAACAGTTAATCCTTCTATTGCAGGAGGATATTAATGGAGTGCTTGCATTTGCAGCTGCCCCACCATATTTTGAAACTACCAAGGAAGAGATCATGTTTTCCACAACTTGCTAATGTTAGTAAGAAAATAGACTTTCCAAGGGGTTCTCAAAGAATGTAATCTAAGGCATCTTAGAGCAACTTCCAAATCAAACAGTGCATTTAAGAGAACCAACTTAGTGTTCCTATGACACCTTCATGTTATAAAGAAGGGAAGCATGGGGAGGAAGAGAGGAGACTATACCTTCCTACGCCTTGTCTTCACCATGAACTCACGAGCCAAGTGCTGAATTGGTGCAGGCTCAAGTGGTCGTAGGACTATGCTCTTGTCAAGAGGATCACCAGGAACTATAGCCCAATGATCAAACGCCGAGAGGCAAAAGGCCTGCCCTTGAGTGTGATACCTCAGGTCCGTCTCAAAACCAAATGATTCAATTACAGGTAAAAATGCCTGAAATTCCAATTAGAATACAAGATACGCCAATAAATAGAGACAAAATGAATGTTAAAGCAGAAACATACATATACTAACATGCAGACCATGATAATCTCAGTGATTTCCCACAGGTATTAGATCAACTGGAGATCCAACAAAGAGGAAAGCAAAAAAACTCAAAGTTTATGCCAATAGCTTCAAAATGGGACTGTTTCTCTGTTCAACTATAAAGGGGAAACATGCACCAACAACATATTTTACATTGTCTGAGCAAAATTCTGCTTTAGGAAATGGTCTTCAAGGTCTAAAAATAACCGATGTCATCAGCTATCACCATTCTCATGGGAAATTACAAGCAAGTCAGTCAAAATGATCCTATAATGCACTTTGTTGGCAAAATTTAGTGGCCAAACCTTAACAATATAGGCTGGAGTCCCTGGTTGAGGAACATCAGCAGTCACATGCCCACGCCTGCGCGACAACACTGTGTAGATAGCAGAGACACAGTCTATGGGGGTTTGAATCTGAAACAGCATCACCACTTTAGTCAGCTACACAATCAATTTGACATGGAAAAAACCAGCAAAGTCCTAGTTTTGAATTGGGACATCAAATGTCAACATGTATCATACAGTGCAGGAACTTGGATATAAAAAAGCACCTCCAAGAAAGAAAAAATTAGGAGGTGGCCAATTAAGTCCTATTTTTTGAGTTCGCATAGTCAAGTCTCAATCTTTTATCATGCAGAATCATCCATGTTCAATAACACATTGGACGGAAAAAAAAAATACTTGAAGATTTCAATTTGCATTAGCAAACATCAAACCAAACATCAGCAGAAGTTCATGCATGGCTCTAGGATGATAACCTAGGAAACTTCCCTAGTAAATGACACCTAGGCAATATGCAGCTTATTCATTTAAAAGAAGTTACAAGACCATTGAGTGTCCTATCCTGGTCATCTCAGCTCAAGTGTAACTGTGAAACAGCTAGCATCACTTTCTCTTAAACAGATTAGCTAAAGAAAGCCATCATATATTTCCTCGAAGTGGTTTCCATATGCAACAGCAAGTAATTACCTCCACATAATATACTGGTTCCATGAGCCGTGGGGTTGCCATAAGGAAAGCTGAATAGGCCACACGTCGAGCTGTTGGAATGATCTGACCAGTTCCACGATGCAATGGCTCAGGTGCAATCTTTGCATCAACTATTTTAAACTTGACATTTCTGATGGGCTCATCACAGAGGGGTCCTTCTCGAGCACCCCATTGGAATCTGTCCAGAATAATTTACTCCATTATATCCGAAGGCAGATAATCAGAACTATGGAGAGTAAAGGCAGGTAAGAAATCTGTTTACCCTTGAACAATGGAATCTTTGACAGCATTCAGCAAGCTCTTGTCAACTTCACTAGACAGTGTGTCATCTAGTAGAATATTAGGTCCCTATAAGCACCACAAATTATTTGCAATTAGGATAGTGACAAAAGAAATTTATCTACTGGTGCACAAAAAGTCAAAAACATAGTAATAATTTTCTTATTGCAGCAATAACAAGCATTTAAATCACCTGCTTATCAGGCCCAAATGCCCATATAGATCGAGCAGCAAGCAGATCCCAGTCATATTTTGTTTGGAAGAAGTCCCCTAGTTTCTTTCGAGGCCAGTCAATGCTTACACCACCATTCTCAATGTCCTCAGAAAGTCCTCTCTCCAATGGCTCAGCAATCTAGATAATAAGATTGAATATTTATCCGCCCACAGTAGATTAGTAGTATAATCAATATATGTGGGTCATAAAGAAAGCAGATGCATACCATGGTTATTTTATTTTTCTTGTTGGGCGTTTCAGCAAAACACTTCATTGACGACGATTCAACTACTGTCTCACAGAATGAGACCACTGGGTCCGCCACCTACATTTTATGTGTGGCATAAGAAGCAAAAGCGTGCCACATCAAAGAAAAGTTGGCTCGATAATAGAAATCAACAACTAAAACAGACAACAATCAAAAAAAAAAACGAGAGAGAAGAAGTATGAGAATACCTTGACTTCCACTTCTGAATACAACTCCCTCAGGTCCTTCATTATAGAATCCAAGTACAGCTCCCCAGTACCTAAAATAGTGTGTTCCCCGGACTCTTCAACTTTAGTAATTGCTAGAGGATAGCTCTTGCTGATCTTCCTCAGACCCTCCACCATTTTTGGTAGCTCACTTGGATTTAAAGGCTCAGTTGCTGTTTTCACCACTGGAAGGGTATTGAACTGAAGAGGACGGAAAATATAAACATCCTCATCATAATCCAGATTACACAGTGTGGCAGTCTTCATTATTGAAGCATCCACACCTTCAATCAGAACCCAAGAACCAGGAGGAGCCTTGCTTACAGGTATCCTATAACGAGCTTGGTAAACCCATAGTTTTGTTACTTCTTTTACTGTCATATCCTCCTCATCATCTGGTGAATAGCCTTCTCCCAGAACACGTACGGTCTGCCCCGTCATGATTTCACCACTATACACCCTACCAAAGGCATCAAAGACACTGCAATCGGATTTAGGGTACATTTTGGTAACATTAACCATTAGGGGGCCACTAGCATCACAATCTTCCATGGCTTGGTAGATTGTGGAATCCTTAGGCCCAGTATAGATATGCTCAACCTTCCTAGCTGCAGCATCTTTGGCGGATGGGATGTGACGAACCAGCATGTCAGTAAAGCCTGTGGCTGAACCAAAAACTGAGCTACAGGCCAACCTTAGCAAAGGCCTAACATTTAACTTGTAAGCTACATTACTGAGAGTTACACCAAGTTCTGCAAGAGTTACCTCCACACTTTTCTTGTGTTCTCCAATTACTTGGCTATATATTTTGTAAAGAGGTTCAAGCACAAACTGGACAAATGATCTCTCCACTCCGCTGCCAGGTTGTTTCTTCTTAAAAGCCCGGGTATCAGGATCAAAGTAGTAATCACCCCAAAGACGAGATGCAAACTTATTTGCATCAAATGGAATACCATGGAGTTTGACATATAGTTTAGCAAATGATTGCAGAGTGAAGGACCATCCCGCACTGCCACTTGCAAAACACACATTTCCGAGAGCAGGATCAATAACTTGGACATTTCCGGCAGTTGATGAGGCAGCAGTTATGTGGTTATTGATGACTTCCAGGGTATGTCTCAGTTTGTGGTAAGCATCCTTTGGGGGCAATTTAAGTTCAGTGATTAATCTGTCAACCTAGAGAAATATTTAAAAAATGAGTTGATGCAATAGAACAGAACCACAACTTTATGCGTGTAATTTTAATCACTAAAAGGATTATAAGCATCACCTTGTTCATCACCACCACAATAGGGAGGCGCTCCTGGATAGCATGGCGTATAGCCCTCTCTGTATTTACCTGTCCATGACAGAGAATTGAACAAATCATACTATGCAACAGTATAACCTTCATGGCCATCTTTATAAACCAAATAGTTACATGCAGCAGCTTTACAATAACAACTAACTTTTTTGAAACAATTTGATTCACACATAAACAGCCACCACACCGTTGTGAATTGTGATACATTCAGTTGGATATAATTTATGCACAATACTGAGAACTTTGAAAAAGCAATACACAAATCATACCACTTGGGAGCAAAATTGAAGAATTCTAAGAGTTGACTGCTTCTCAAGACTAGGATCAATTTCAAATCTTAGTGCAATTTTTGGGAAAACATCAGAGGATATTTAATGTGTAATCTTCTTTATGATGATATTAACACCATTTTGCACCCCTCTTTCCTACTTTTAAGAACGTCACCATAAACATCATCCAAGTACAAAGAAGACAGCAACGAGCTATCAATTTAAATGACTTGACAAAGCAAAAATGAATAATGGATAGAGCAAAAAGGAAAACAATGAGAAACATCTACTGGCATCCATCAACAACACCTAAATGGACATAAAACTGCACACATAAAAATACAGACAAGTACGTAAAAATATCGGCAAGGTGGTCCAGGAAAATTTGTGAGCACCTCCCGGCCTGCCTGCCTCTCCCTTTGCAGTGAAAGGGGATTGTGTTGTTTGTGTTTGTGTTCATGTAGTAATTCTATGTAATTATGATGTATACATATAAGAAATGAAATAACAAAAAAGATTGCAAAAATTACCATGACTCCTTCGGCAGCATCCACAATCAATACTGCACCATCAGCAAGCCTGAGAGCAGCAGTCATTTCATCAGAGAAATTGACATGACCAGGGGTATCCATGATATTACAGAGATACGATTTCGAATTACTATCCTCAAGAACAAGCGACATAGGAACCGCCTTGATGGATATCCTTCTCTCTTGCTCATCTATCCTAGTATCCGTATATCTCATGTGCTTCTCACTATTCTGATCAAAAGTTGAAATATGGTGAGTTTGCTCAACCAACATATCCATGAAAACGGTCTTCCCATGTTGTACGTGTCCCACTAAGGCCACATTCCGAACCAAAGTAGGATTCGACATAAGACCCAAGAGAAACTGAGTGGACACATATGTAGATGAATCCTTAACCCCCAACTCAAACTTAAGATTCTTGACTGGCTTGATTATCGGCTGCTCGAGCGGTTGCTCGTCTTCATCCATAACCAATGTTTCAACTTCTTCACCATAAACCTCTTCTGCAGTTGGGTAGTACTTTTTATCCTCAGCAAGGACTATTTGATTATCCATATCGACATCATCCATGGTAGTCATCCAACCATTAGATGCACCATGTTCTTGATCACCATCGGATGCAGCCACCTCGTCCTCAGTCTTGTCAGGGAGGTCCTCATCTTCTTCATCCCTATCACTCTCCTGGTCGGATTCAATTTCAGGTCCGATGTAGTTTCCAAATTCATCGTACAAACTGTCATCCATGATTCTGTCAAATATGTCATATTAGATATTCCATTGGTAACATCCTAAGTCTTTCTTGTTTACTTATTTAATAATTCTTATGTAATTTTCATGCTTATTTGGAGAGACCAACACTCATGAAATGGGTCTTCGATACAGAGCTTTCAACAATTGTGTTTATGCTTGTTTTTTTTCTCTTTCCCATATCCATTTCGTCCTATACTGAGATTGACCTTATCAAATAGATAAAATGGTTGTCTTTAATTTCTTCTGTATAAAATCAACTAACTAACTAGCCCAGTGGATTCAAGGTTTTACAAGGAGATTTTTTTTTTTTTGAACTGCTTTACAAGCTGAATGAAAATAGCAATTCTCATATTTAATGAAGGAGCTCAAAATAGGAAACGTAGGAGAGGGAAAAATAATTTATTTCGAATCTTAACAATATCTTAAAATCAGGTCATCCGAATTTATTTTTCAAAAATATTCTAATGTCGATGTGAATAGTTTGTTTTTGACCGAATCAAATAAGAAATTAGATAAAATGCGCATAAATTGACTCCGATACCTCTAACCGTTAAACCTAATAAAAAAAAATTATGGATTAATTTACTCCGTCGAGTGGTTGTGTATATCTAGAATTTATTTTTGTTGGTGCTCTCAATTTTCAATTAATTTTAACAAAAGAGATGGATTGAAATAAATTATATAATTTAGTGGAAAAATTAAAACAATTAAAAATTTAAGAAACCATTTTGAAACAAAAACTATAGTTCAAGGGCATTTAGGCAATTTATCCAATCAAAAGTCAAAGGTTTTGTGAAAGAAGAAAAAGAAAGACGGGATCGGGTAAATGGGTCATTGGTTCAACCGTTAAGTCACTGGTTAGACCGGTAATATAATAAAAAATTAAAAAATAATTATAAATAATAATAAATAGGCTAAAAAATTATAATAATTATAAAAATAACATTAAACATGTAAAATTAAGTAGAGAAAAATCAACAAACATGTATCTAATTTCAATGTATTCAATTTTCAATACAACTTGTAAAGTTAAGTAGAGAAAAATACCTCTATTGAAATTCAAGGTTCCAAGTCTAAGTCCAACTCTTCGACAATGTATCAATCTAAGCATAATCCATGTAATTTGCACTCTTCAATGATCAATCTTCAAACTCAAACTGTATTAAGCAAGACAAAGCACATGAGCATAGCATAATAATTCAAAACATAATAATGCAAGTCACTAAGCCTCCTTGACACAACCCCCCCTTCAATTGAACTATCATCACTTCCACCATAAGAATGTAACTAACATTNTTAAGCAAGACAAAGCACATGAGCATAGCATAATAATTCAAGTCACTAAGCCTCCTTGACACAACCCCCCCTTCAATTGAACTATCATCACTTCCACCATAAGAATGTAACTAACATTGCAGGATACCAATGCTACACAGTTTCTAAAGAGTTGAACATACCAATGCTATACATATTCTAAAATATGGAGATTTGTTCAAACCATGGAGATTTGTTCAAACCCATTCTGTTAAACTAGCTACAAGTCCTCTTAAATCTCAGACATGCAAAATATGAGTTTGGATTTCGTTTAAATGGCTCATTAGTTGAAACTCAAAAGTGTGAACATAGGTATTTGCGGATATATGTGTAGTGTAGAGTAGAGAACTGTGGATATCATCAGAGCCTTTGTGTGGTGGAACTAGTGGTGAACAGTAAAGAGAAATAAATATTTTTTTTTAATTGAAGTTAAAGATAATTTAGATAAATGGGTTGGTGGTTGATGAAGGTTGGGTTGAGGATATAGCTCGAGACTGACAGTGACAGTGAAGCAAAAGATAAATAACAGTGAAACACATTGTAAATTCTAAAGAGTTCAACGCTAAGTATAATCAAATATTTGATTTCTTCCTAGTTCCTACCGATTACCTGCATATTAAAAGGACATAAAATCACTTCCATCACAGCCAAAAGACTACACCCATTATCAGATCATCGACCACTCTATTGTCAATCTCATACCCACTGGAAGTTGATGGATTGAAACGCAAAATAGACAGAGAAAAATGGGGAGAGAGAGAGAGAGGGAAACTCACTGGACTGGAGTCGACTGGACTGGAATCGCTGGAGTCGACTGCTGGTGTCTGGTCTGGTCGATGGTCGCTGCTGGTGCTGGAGTGGAGGCTAGACTGGATAATGGATCGCTGCTCAGTCGTTGGTGGTGGAGGCGTTGCTCACTGCTCAGTCGTTGGTGGTGCAGGCGTCTGGTCTCGAACGATTTTTTGATTATTTGGTTTGGAACGATTTAGGGCAAAACAAAAGGGGCAAAAAAACAAAGGATTAATTATAAACTATACCCTGAAAGATTGTTTGAATCTCAATTTTTATTTTTAAAGATTAAAAATTTTAATTTATACCCTCAAAGATAGAAATTTGTATCAATGTGTACATCCAAAGATCAAAAATATCAATTTGTACCTTCAAAGATAAAAATTTGCATTAATGTGCACTCCTAAAGATCAAAAATCTCAATTTGTACTCTCAAAGAATAAATTTATATCAATGTGCATTTAAAATTAACTGTCATCAATTTGCTATCTGAAACTAAATTGATAAATTATAGCTAAATTCTCTCATGCTTGACACTTAATCATTTGGACTCCTTCACAAAATAAAAGGTAATATGAAATTATAATTATGTTTAAGTGATATATTGCATTGGATATAAAAAATATTATATAAATACTTACATATTATTAGACATTCAAATGGTAATCTTCATTTTGAACTTTAGATTATATCGGACTCACAAAATAAAGGATAATATGAAATTATAATTTTTTATTATGATAAAATCATAATTTTTAACGGTTATATTAACAGATATCAATTAAAAAGAGTTACGTGTTACACGTACACAAACGTCATGAAATATAGGAGTAATATTCTAAATATAAAGAGGTCTAAATGATTAAGTGACAAATATGAGGGAATCTAGGTATAGTTTATCAATTTAATTTTAGGCAGCAAACTGACGGAGTTAGTTTTAAGTGCATATTGATACAAATTTATATTTTTGAGAGTACAAATTGAGATTTTTGATCTTTAGAGGTGCACATTGATATAAATTGTTATATTTTAGAGTGCAAATTAAGATTTTTTATTTTTAGAAGTGAAAATTGAAATTCAAACGATCTTTCAGGGTATAATTTATAATTAACCCAAAAACAAAATACCCAAGTGAATGAAAAAGATGTCAGATTTATAGAAATGAAATTAAACCGATCAGTTTGCTAAACTCGTTCGGTTCTCACAAGTTTATCAAACTTTTTACCAGTTTAATGGATTTATCCCAAGTGTTTTACATAAACGATCTTTTAATAGAACCAGTCCGATTAGGGGAGCAATTCACCGGGTTGACCCACCCGCCCCCGTTGGATTTTAAAACACTACTATCAAACTTACCCGAAAAAGCATTTAAAAACTAGGGTGTTAATCGAGCCTAGAGCATTCTCCTTTTTTTTAAGTAAATTTAAAAAATTGTTTAAATTCGATTTGTTTAAAATTCGAGTTGAATCTGAATCCGAGCTAAATCCGAGTAACTCAACTATTTTACATGTGAATTAGGCAAGTTTTGCGAGTTTGAACTAAGCTTTAAAATGAGCAAAAAAATTATTCAAACTCAACTCATTTAAAATATAAATCGATTTTGAACTGAGTCTTATTCGAGTCAAACCCAAATCGAGAATAGGAACTTTCCTAAAATATAATAGAACCTCTCAAGAATTGTCCGTATTTTTCGAGCAAATGAGAGGGAAAAAACAAAACCAATCACTCGGGGTTAACTGTGGTTACTGGTAATACTCCCAAATGGGAGGTCACTCGATTAAGACTCATTTGGAGCAAAGTGTTCTCTCATGCTCCCTTGCTTCTCTTTTCTCTCTTGATTATTTTTAACAACTTTATTCTCTGTTCATAGCTTGTAAATTGATTGTATGATCATTTTTAACAACTTTATTCTCTGTTCATAGCTTGTAAATTGATTGTAATGTTGATATATCTCTGCACATAGTGTGGAAATATATTTTTGTATGAAAAATGTACATAAAATTCTAAATTCTTATATTATGTTGTTGATATTCGAAAAGTAGTAAAAATTAGTATATGTTTTTGTGCCAAAAAAGAGAAGAAAATAGATGACATAGTNATCAGTTTGCTAAACTCGTTCGGTTCTCACAAGTTTATCAAACTTTTTACCAGTTTAATGGATTTATCCCAAGTGTTTTACATAAACGATCTTTTAATAGAACCAGTCCGATTAGGGGAGCAATTCACCGGGTTGACCCACCCGCCCCCGTTGGATTTTAAAACACTACTATCAAACTTACCCGAAAAAGCATTTAAAAACTAGGGTGTTAATCGAGCCTAGAGCATTCTCCTTTTTTTTAAGTAAATTTAAAAAATTGTTTAAATTCGATTTGTTTAAAATTCGAGTTGAATCTGAATCCGAGCTAAATCCGAGTAACTCAACTATTTTACATGTGAATTAGGCAAGTTTTGCGAGTTTGAACTAAGCTTTAAAATGAACAAAAAAATTATTCAAACTCAACTCATTTAAAATATAAATCAATTTTGAACTGAGTCTTATTCGAGTCAAACCCAAACCGAGAATAGGAACTTTCTTAAAATATAATAGAGCCTATCAAGAATTGTCCGTATTGTTCGAGCAAATGAGAGGGAAAAAACAAAACCAATCACTCGGGGTTAACTGTGGTTACTGGTAATACTCCCAAATGGGAGGTCACTCGATTAAGACTCATTTGGAGCAAAGTGTTCTCTCATGCTCCCTTGCTTCTCTTTTCTCTCTTGATTATTTTTAACAACTTTATTCTCTGTTCATAGCTTGTAAATTGATTGTATGATCATTTTTAACAACTTTATTCTCTGTTCATAGCTTGTAAATTGATTGTAATGTTGATATATCTCTGCACATAGTGTGGAAATATATTTTTGTATGAAAAATGTACATAAAATTCTAAATTCTTATATTATGTTGTTGATATTCGAAAAGGAGTAAAAATTAGTATATGTTTTTGTGCCAAAAAAGAGAAGAAAATAGATGACATAGTCTAAGTTTGTGCGTTCTTTCCCCAATTCAAGATTGGTCCCGTGGCTTTCCTATTCTCTATGTGAGTAGGAGTGTTCATCCAATCCTACGGGTAGAAAATATGATTTTTTATCTTTTTATCCGATACTTTGCGGAAGAATTTTTTCTTAACCTACCCTAACAAAACAAATGTGGTATTCCTATCCGATTTCTGGCCAAATTAATGGGTTAAGAAGTCAGGTAGGAAATCGGATGAACACTTTTATAGTTATTAATTTTTGGATCATTTTAACTATTCAAATAAATAATATGCACTAATTTAACAACACAATAAACCAATAACACTAAAATCTAAAACAATTACAACAACAATTACAAAAAAACACAATAAAGTATAAATATCAATCTATCATAATTGTTGCATTAATACAATAACAATTATTTTAAATATAAACCATATGATTANGATTGGTCCCGTGGCTTTCCTATTCTCTATGTGAGTAGGAGTGTTCATCCAATCCTACGGGTAAAAAATATGATTTTTTATCTTTTTATCCGATATTTTGCGGAAATTTTTTTTCTTAACCTACCCTAACAAAACAAATGTGGTATTCCTATCCGATTTCTGGCCAAATTAATGGGTTAAGAAGTCAGGTAGGAAATCGGATGAACACTTTTATAGTTATTAATTTTTGGATCATTTTAACTATTCAAATAAATAATATGCACTAATTTAACAACACAATAAACCAATAACACTAAAATCTAAAACAATTACAACAACAATTACAAAAAAACACAATAAAGTATAAATATCAATCTATCATAATTGTTGCATTAATACAATAACAATTATTTTAAATATAAACCATATGATTAGGGAATTAGGGTTTTTAGTATATATATATATATACGAAGACCAAAAATTCTTTTGTATTCCTACCCCATTTTTTTTGCTAGCCGTTCAATAGAATCAAATAGGATAAAAAATTACGACTAATTGAAAATTTGAACACCCCTATACATGAGGCAATCCATCCGGTATGGATAGTTTACTTCCTATCTAGTCACTCTAATAGCATCTCACTTTTANAGGTCATTTTAACTATTCAAATAAATAATATGCACTAATTTAACAACACAATAAACCAATAACACTAAAATCTAAAATAATTACAACAACAATTACAAAAAAACACAATAAAGTATAATCATCAATCTATCATAATTGTTGCATTAATACAATAACAATAATTTTAAATATAAACCATATGATTAGGGAATTAGGGTTTTTAGTATATATATACGAAGACCAAAAATTCTTTTGTATTCCTACCCCATTTTTTTTGCTAGCCGTTCAATAGAATCAAATAGGATAAAAAATTACGACTAATTGAAAATTTGAACACCCCTATACATGAGGCAGTCCATCCGGTATGGATAGTTTACTTCCTATCTAGTCACTCTAATAGCATCTCACTTTTAAACTCCAACTTATAGAAAAACACAATAATGACTCAAATCATTTAAGATCTAGCAACTTATCTTATTACTTACCTTTTAATGACAATAATTTTTTATTTATATTTAACCTTTTAACAAAAGTAAATATTTTACCTACCCACTTATATTTTAACCACAATAAACATTTTAGTCACTCAATTACATTTTATTTTAACAACATTAAAAAAAACACATGCTTAGCATGGGTTCACCCTAGTTCCAACTATCTGATAAATGCAAATATCAAATAACCTGTGCCGGCCAGAAGGTTATTAACTTGGAAAAAAAANAAAATTTGAACACCCCTATACATGAGGCAGTCCATCCGGTATGGATAGTTTACTTCCTATCTAGTCACTCTAATAGCATCTCACTTTTAAACTCTAACTTATAGAAAAACACAATAATGACTCAAATCATTTAAGATCTAGCAACTTATCTTATTACTTACCTTTTAATGACAATAATTTTTTATTTATATTTAACCTTTTAACAAAAGTAAATATTTTACCTACCCACTTATATTTTAACCACAATAAACATTTTAGTCACTCAATTACATTTTATTTTAACAACATTAAAAAAAACACATGCTTAGCATGGGTTCACCCTAGTTCCAACTATCTGATAAATGCAAATATCAAATAACCTGTGCCGGCCAGAAGGTTATTAACTTGGNCAAGAGGAACATAAGAATGTCCATATAATCCTTTGACCCTGCTACACTAAAAATAGAAAAATGTTTACTGTTAAATATGGTTCAAAATTCATGTAGCCGATTCCCAATAATTGGACCAAGGCTCGATTGAGTTGTTGTATACCGCTGCAGACTTATGTCCTATCAAGGAGATTACAGACACTTCGGATCCATTTCTTTAAGCTGTCTCTCGACCAAAACCATACCACATTATCGGTATTGAGAGCAGGCAAACTTACCACCATATTGTACAGGTTAGATAGCCTTGAGAATAATCCCCTCCAGCATGTAAACCATCACTTTTCTAGCTATACAGCCAAATCATTTGCTTCTATCATGCAAAGTTGTCATAAACCATCATCTTCCAGGAAAATGTAAATAAATAAATAAATGAATCCCATATGATTCTGTTCACATCGTAGCCAAGGATAAAAGTGAAGACAGCTTAAAAGATGAAATGTATATAAAGTATGTACACCATCTGGTTGAGATTGTTCAGTCAGCATCACCAAGTCCATCACTTCCATCCCCTCTCTTAGATATAGGAGCATAATGAGAGTTAGATTTCTTCTTTTGTGAAGCGATTTCAGCATTTTTTCGTAAGACTGCTCCAGGTGATGGGTAAGGGCGCTGCTGAAAAAGAGGACCCTGAAATTTAAAGAACAAGGAAATAAATTAATATGCAGTATGTGAATAATAAACACATATATGCCGCATGCATATGTTCTGCACGTGGATGCTTGTGTGCAAATGGAAATATGTGTACAACTCATAAGAAACAATGTGATTTTATGTGGACATCCACAAGTGTGAGAAACCCCATGCAAACTCCCAACAGTCTGCAAGTTATAGTGTATAGGTTGGAAACATAGCACATGTACTCTACGGCTACAAAATTTGCAACCAAACAGCAAATCAACTTGGGGCGGATGGCATCACAATGAGAAAGTAAAACAGAGAATTTGAAAAGGAAAACCTTAAAAACCACATGACATTCTAAGCCTGACTTTTACTTCACATTTCTTTGGAATCAATACAGGAAAGGATTTAAACAAAAATAAAAAAATAAGATTTAGATTATAGTACGATCTCTTAATAGGTTTTCAAGCTATTTCTTTCACAATCACAAATTTTACGAGTGTTCTCCACACTTTTCAAGTGAGATCCAAGGTATTAGTAAATGATTTACGTTCGCAACAGAAACACTTTTTGGAAAAGACCTGATTTCCTAGGGAGCCTTGTGTGCCCACTACAACAATCTCAACATGAATATAGCTATTACGCTAATAAAAACTGGTTCCACTTGCATGCCTCTTGATGCATAAGACAACATGCAAACAACCCAAGTAGCTTCTCATATATATCAAGTAAGAGGAAGGTAAACATATATATTAATTAAAAGGAAGACAATTTACTGTGGCAGTGGTATCCGCAGCTCTTGGCTGTACTCCTTTCAGGCCTACAACCCTGCAAAATCAGTGATAGGTTAAATTAGTGGTGAACTACTCAAGCACTAGTTCAGATTACCTAGAAATAATTTAGGTTTTAACACTGGATAAAGACAATATCACCATGCAAATGCATTACACATAAATTTGCAGAGGAAATTTATCATATTGTTTGAATAAAAATATATAGCTCATACCAGCCTCCACGGGGAGCATCTGAATAGGAGCTTGGATCCATGGGATCCAACTCATCATCTTCAGTGTTGGCTCGTTTCCTGCTGTCTCGTTTATTGCCTTTTCCGATTGGGGGTTTAAAATTGGACCTATAGACACAAATACCAATCAATTATGTCAATATAAAACTCTAAATGATTTTCAACTATTCCAGGTACTATTTCCCCTTTTCTTAAGCAGACCTATAGGCTGGACACGCCATAATCTCCCCCAGCCCTCAATTCATCTGTCTCCCAGATTTGAAATTGGACCAATGCTGACGAATGCCGTGCTACTTTGAACTGAACCAGAATTATCTCCAAATATGTAAGACGCAATAATGTTTATGAGTATTCTTTTGTTCATGAATATGGGTAAGGAGAACAAATGGCACTTAATTTCATCATAAAGGAAATGAGGGATTCAACAGAAGAAGCCTTCTTTTACAAAAGAGATTGTTGATATGTCCAACAAATCAGTTTGAGCAACTTAATGAATTCCCAGATAAGTAAATTATGACTCCATGCTCAATTCAAGCAGGAGTTTTTTATTTTATTTGTTACATCAGGTCTTCTAACTTTATTCCACCTGCTCTTTTTTCAGTTGTCTTTCTCCCCTTGCCTCTACTTTTGTTAGTTAGAATTTATTTCTTGGTTGTCTTTAAAAGATGAAGATATCATCATTTGTGATCTTACACCGTCCCCTCTTAATATTTTTATTTATGTTTTAGACAAGGCACAGACTTGGAATACATGCTCAATCTTCCACAGCCTTAAGGTCCTCCTCCAAAGCAGAAGAATCCACGCAAACTTAAATTTCAATTGCCAACATGCTCCAATCCCATGGGATGGAGTCACTTCCTTCCCATGTGCATCTTAACAGAAAAGACAATTTTTTACTAGCATTATGCCAACACTAAGAAGTCAAAAGAAAACTTCAGCTTCAAGGAAGGAAGGATACCTATGCTTGGAAAACCTTTTGTCTGAATCTTCTCTGGTACTTGCAGCATTGGTGATCTGTTGCTGGTTTGCCACACTGGCTGACAAGTATTGGCCTTGAGGAAGGTTGAGAACTCTATATCCACAATAAAGTTTAATCAATTTTATAATCATTATANGTAAGAGGAAGGTAAACATATATATTAATTAAAAGGAAGACAATTTACTGTGGCAGTGGTATCCGCAGCTCTTGGCTGTACTCCTTTCAGGCCTACAACCCTGCAAAATCAGTGATAGGTTAAATTAGTGGTGAACTACTCAAGCACTAGTTCAGATTACCTAGAAATAATTTAGGTTTTAACACTGGATAAAGACAATATCACCATGCAAATGCATTACACATAAATTTGCAGAGGAAATTTATCATATTGTTTGAATAAAAATATATAGCTCATACCAGCCTCCACGGGGAGCATCTGAATAGGAGCTTGGATCCATGGGATCCAACTCATCATCTTCAGTGTTGGCTCGTTTCCTGCTGTCTCGTTTATTGCCTTTTCCGATTGGGGGTTTAAAATTGGACCTATAGACACAAATACCAATCAATTATGTCAATATAAAACTCTAAATGATTTTCAACTATTCCAGGTACTATTTCCCCTTTTCTTAAGCAGACCTATAGGCTGGACACGCCATAATCTCCCCCAGCCCTCAATTCATCTGTCTCCCAGATTTGAAATTGGACCAATGCTGACGAATGCCGTGCTACTTTGAACTGAACCAGAATTATCTCCAAATATGTAAGACGCAATAATGTTTATGAGTATTCTTTTGTTCATGAATATGGGTAAGGAGAACAAATGGCACTTAATTTCATCATAAAGGAAATGAGGGATTCAACAGAAGAAGCCTTCTTTTACAAAAGAGATTGTTGATATGTCCAACAAATCAGTTTGAGCAACTTAATGAATTCCCAGATAAGTAAATTATGACTCCATGCTCAATTCAAGCAGGAGTTTTTTATTTTATTTGTTACATCAGGTCTTCTAACTTTATTCCACCTGCTCTTTTTTCAGTTGTCTTTCTCCCCTTGCCTCTACTTTTGTTAGTTAGAATTTATTTCTTGGTTGTCTTTAAAAGATGAAGATATCATCATTTGTGATCTTACACCGTCCCCTCTTAATATTTTTATTTATGTTTTAGACAAGGCACAGACTTGGAATACATGCTCAATCTTCCACAGCCTTAAGGTCCTCCTCCAAAGCAGAAGAATCCACGCAAACTTAAATTTCAATTGCCAACATGCTCCAATCCCATGGGATGGAGTCACTTCCTTCCCATGTGCATCTTAACAGAAAAGACAATTTTTTACTAGCATTATGCCAACACTAAGAAGTCAAAAGAAAACTTCAGCTTCAAGGAAGGAAGGATACCTATGCTTGGAAAACCTTTTGTCTGAATCTTCTCTGGTACTTGCAGCATTGGTGATCTGTTGCTGGTTTGCCACACTGGCTGACAAGTATTGGCCTTGAGGAAGGTTGAGAACTCTATATCCACAATAAAGTTTAATCAATTTTATAATCATTATAATTTTGTAAATAGCAATGATAATGATGATTAATATAATGAATATTGATGATGATAATTGAAAACATAATAATAACAATGAGGGTGGCAAACACTGGGATAATTTCGGTTAAATCAATTCACACATGAAATTCACTTAGGAGTAAAGACACATGAATGAACATTTTTAACCGATAGTCAATTCCCCAAATGTTTAATTTTCTTTATTTTTCCTCTTTGATAAACATCACATTGTACACTCAGAAAATACCAACCATGCCCAAAGTTGAAATTGTTCTCATCAACATTGTGTTCACTAGCAGGTTAGCAAATATTAGAACAAAAGATATAGTGTAAACTTCCAGCCAAAGATTAGATCTGATACAGAAGGAAGAAACCACACCGTGTGCAATGATTGCAGTAACCCCAAGACTGCACAAGGCCTAATCCCCAACCATGACATTGCATGCATTTCTGAAGCACATATGGCTGACAAGTCCCATTTCCATTAGCTGCATTCCTGGAAACCATGCTGTCATAATGGTGTGACGCAAGCTGCTGTGATGAATTAGGGTGCTCCCACTGTGATACTTGTGTCTTTGTGTTGTAGTAATACTTTTGACCTGTAAAGACAAATCGTTCAAGAGACAAAAGAAAGGGAGACTAACTAGTTTAACCATGAAGCCTTCCATTCGAAAAATGATAATGCATGTTCTTTGCTTTTCTCTTATTTATTAAGAAAATGGGCTAAAACAATTGTCTACATGGCATACCTGTTGTTTCATTTGTTGCCTCTTGCCAATCTTCAGAAACAGATAAAGGTGATGGGGGCACAAAGATAGAAGCAGCCTCAGCAGGTCTTTCCCACTGGCTTTTCCCTGTTTTTTCATTATAATAGTACAGAGCACCACTTGCAGGGTCTGTAGCCTTAAGCTGCATGGATAGAGGTAAATTATGTAAATAGAAGGAAGAATTGGGATGAGCTATTATGTAAGCAGTAAGCACATATGGCTGACAAGCCCCAATTCCATTAGCTGAAACTACAATAAGAACTACACGCCAGATTTGAGAACAGATTCATACTTTTTAAAAATTCAAATATTTCAATAGTATCTCCAACATTTAAGCTTTCCCTATGTATTCAAATAGATTACAAGTTTCACAAGGCTTTGGGCTATATAACATTTAAGATATAGCGTCTCATTGCAACTGAGCCAAGCAAATTCCTGGAAATCCCAATAGGGTTTCTTCCTTGAGTTCAGTATCAATGCAAGGTTGAATATGTGAAAAAAAGGCAATTACCAAGCTTAGTTTTAATGACTACTGGGATCCATCTTCAGCACTTGGGTCTTGGTAAAGTAATATTGTTGGTTAACCGGAAGGCCATCATGTGACTTCCCATAGCCCCAGTCCATATTCTTTTCAGCCTTCCTTTTGTCCTTTTGGCACCTTCAACTTAAATTAATTTACTTCAATCTAAAATATTAGATTATTTACATGCAGTCTTAATCTCCAGCTTTATTCACACAAGGTGTAGGTCGCATACTTGAAGCCCAGAGGTGCAACACAGTTTGGGCTTGGCCAGTACATGCCCCAAGACAGAATCAAACCGAACCATGTCAATCCTCGAATCCTAAGAGCAAAAAAAACTCTACATAAAGCTAACCAAACCAAACTAAGCTTTATTCAACACACTTCTTCGACACTAGTTCAAAAAATATAAAAATCCTTCCCATCCGAAGTAAAAAAAAAAAACTCGAGGATTGGTTAAGGCACTTGTTTGGCGGAGATGGCATGCAGATGTTAGAAAGACGACTCACCCAATTATTTCCAGCTTTTTAAACTTGATCCAAATAATTTTACAGTACCAAATAAAAAAGCAGAACTAAGAATAAAGCATATTCAACAGCCACATGTTAAGATACTAAAATTTGCCATTCACTCATAATGCCTATTACAAGTTACAACTGGTCTAGAATCCACAGATTCTTTCCAGCATTTCCAATCTAACATAACAAACAAGGTGCCACCAGTTCAGAGGTTGAAGTTCAGCCCAATAACTTTGAGATTCTGGGTTCAAATTTGAGGAGAGTCCCTGTGTATACCCCTCCCAGACCTCCACTAATGGGACTAAATTGGGTTGTACCTTTAATTCCAATCAAATATAATAGAAATAACAATAGACAATAAGTGTTGCAACTAATACTCACCCATCCTGCAGGCACTTTTTCAGTAGCAATGGTTTCAGATGATACAGTCTCCGACCTCTGGAAAGCAAGGTTTGAAGGAATTATCAACAGTCTAATCAAGGAGGAAAGATTGAAAAACAAACAGACAAATAAAACAAAATGGTTAAAGTTGAGAAGTGAAAAATGAGATTCAAAGGATTGTAAAGCAAAAATGAGGGGACAATTGACAGCATAGAGGGCTCATGGGTTTATGATATTATATGTCAAGAGTTACCTAAATTATTTTTTACCCATATTTAAGTATATCCCGTGACAAGTATATGATCAAAAACTGTTAGCAATTTGGATATTATTTGCTTAAGGGACCACATAAAAACATATTTAATACTTTAGGAACCAAAATGATATAATTGAAATATTAGAGATCAAAATGAGACAAACTCTATATTTTGGGGACCTCCAGTGCAATTAACCCTTTAGATTATTAGTATTGTTGGGTAATATTGTAATTACCCATAATGTCAGTCTATTATAAATGAGAGGTGTAAGGCAACACATCGTACATAGAACATTATTTCACAATCTCTTTCTTTCTCTCTTCTTTCTCCTCCTCTTTCTATTTCCTAAACCCTAATCCTCAATATTCGAGCTTTAACTTAGTATAATTCAAGAAAAGGGCCAACCATGAAGATTTAGTTTCTGAAGACCTATAACACAAAAGTAGTTGGAATAAGGGAGAAGATGAGAAATATAAAGGATCAGTAAAAGAGATCCACTTGCATTGTGAGAGATAGTTGGATCCTCTTTGGTTGAGTGATCCTTTAGAATTCCCCTTGCTCTCAACTTCTGCATTAGGTATTCAGGCAACTCTTTAGCCACGGGTTTTAGTTCAGACTCCCCACCAAGCTCCGTATTTTTTTGACCTGTGTCATGACCAGAAATGTCAGATTTCCCCAAAGTACAAAAACAAATCATACAAAAGATACTTCAGCATTAGGTAGTCTTACTAGTGGCAACTATATTATGCTTTGACATGCCATAATAAGCACCTCCACCTGGTACGCCATATCCATTTCCAATTTCCACATGACCTGACATGCAAGCAAAGGCTTAGCATTTATTCCCATAGAGTGATTTGACATTCTTCTTTTTCCTTTTTTCACTTAGTTTTTTGCCATGTGACTTTCACTAAAATGTGCCAAAGAACAGGGCACAGCCCATCAACCCCGTTGTCCACAAAAGACATTACAAAATGATACAATCTTTACTCAACTTATCAAAATTTTAGCCTACAAGCATTCTGTTACATTTGCACACCATAAACCTAGTGTAGGCCACACTCTTTTAAGCACTGAAGTATTCTAAACTAACCATTCCAACTATGTGATCTCATAAGCCAATCACTACCGTACCATGTTAACTTACAAGATTTGAGCAGAATGTTGATAAACATAAAGAAGTTCATTTTCCAAAAAAAATAAGTGTTTCTTTTTACTCCCCTTTTCGTGTACTGGGTTATTAAAATGGACAATGAAGCATGCTCATAACAGAGCCATGACATTTATCTCAAAAATGGGTCCCCCCTCCCAAAAAAAAATAATAATAATACTAATAAATAAATAAAACAATCCAAAAATCCTGGTCCTACCCATAGGATTGAAAATGCTTGCAGGTTCAAACTTGCTATTTCATCACACAATGTATCTTTCTATTGAGCGAAATAAATAGGTATATAAAATGATGAAATCTGAGGTGAAACAGAACTTTTTTTAAAAGAAACTGCATCAAGTAAGTTCAGATATGGTCTTCAATCTTCAATAGCCTCTTGACTAGGAGGCCACTCAAGCGAAATTTTATTATCGAAAGAACGAGTACACCAGTTGGCATAATGACTAGCATGGATCAGGATGCCCTGCCCTAAAAAATAGGGCCTGTGCCAGACATATTTTCCCATGGGCTTTTGGGTCCATGCACAGTTATAATGCCAATAAATACATACATACACATTTCTTGCAAATTTCCTTCAATTTTTACATATAAAAACAAAAGAAGTATGTATTCTACTTCAACAATTTTACCCAAATCCAATCAATGGACTAATGGCTGTGCCAGGACCAGAGAATATGGCACAACGAGCTGGACCTTTTTTGGCCCAGCCAGGCCCATGCTTAGCCCTGCTTTGCATCATTAATGAACATGTATTCAAACCAAGGAAGCACGGATACGAACACGGGTGTCGTATCCGATACGATACGGACACGGGGATATGACAAAGTTAAAAATTATGGGATTCAGGTACGGTAAGGATACGGTTATTAAAATAATATAATATATTTTTTAAATAATAACAGAGTCGTAATATATTAAAAATAAAACATATATTATAACAATATTAATAATAAGACCTAACAAATATTAGTTTTTTGATTAAAATTGAAATAGATCAAATTAAATATTCACTATTTTCATTAAACATCATTGCATCTATTAATATTCGTAGTATATAAGTTACATAACAAAAAAACATATTAAAAAAAGTATATTTTGAATAGTTAAAAGTTGTTTTTTTAATAAAAAAATTATTGGCCGTATCCTAGATGTACCGTGGCCGTGGCCGACTGAATTCACTATTCAGGACACTTCTAGCCATGTCGGACACGTATCCGGTCGTGTCCTGGCCAAATCCGTGTCCGATACTACCACGGCATCCCGTGAGAAGTATCCGTACTTCCTAAATTCAAACCCTAGAAAAGGAGGGGCCGAATTATTTAGATCTTTAGTTTTTCTTATTCAAAACAATTGTTACTTTTCATTTCTAGGAGATGAGCAGTACCCCTCTACTGCACTGCTTCTTCTCTACTAATAAATTACTAATGAAACATCAAAATAACTTCCCATCAGCATATCATCATAGAAAATAGCTGTTGGCCACATCTGTGCAGAATATATGAAGGGGAAGTGGATAGTCTAATGTTTAAATGAAACTAATGCACCAACCTTCTGCCGGAAAGGTAGACTTGCTGTGTTTTGAGGCCATTTGGGCACGATGATCCGTGGTCATCTTCAGGAGATGCTCCTGTATATACTCAAAGCTTAAATTCACATATTCATATATGAGAATGAAAGATGATATGCTATGAGTCCTCACACGAAGTGGCTCCTGAATAAAGGAAAAGATTCAAAGAAGTCCAGAGAGACAAAATTACATACCTTTAAAACATTCGGGTCATGACGTCCAGAGAAAATGTCTGCACTATCCTCAGGAGTCCCATTCGCATCTCTTGCTTCCCTGAATTAACACATATGCAGGTATATCAGAACCACCTTGTAGCTTCAACATTTACCAGTAAATTATTCACTAAAAGTAAATCAAACAAACCTTTGACTATGAATAATTTTTTGGGTGGCAATTTCCTGTAAGTTACAGACAAAGACATTTCAATTGCATCAATTAGAAAAGGGGAAAATTTAATATGTAGTGAAGCCTATTCTTTAAAAGACATACTTGTTCCTGCAGCACAACATTTTGGGCGGCAGATTCAATATCATTGACACTTCCCGATCCCTGCTGAGAACCATTAGATTCCGTTTGGGGCTGCATTATACCATGGACAACCCCTGCTGAGATCACTGCAACAGGAAAGAGGTTACTCCCAGCATTGCGAGCATGGTAGTCAGAACTAATGTAGTTCTGAAGTGGTTGAGGATCAGGCTGGGCAGATGGAATCCCAAAAGGAGGAGANGTTTTTTGATTAAAATTGAAATAGATCAAATTAAATATTCACTATTTTCATTAAACATCATTGCATCTATTAATATTCGTAGTATATAAGTTACATAACAAAAAAACATATTAAAAAAAGTATATTTTGAATAGTTAAAAGTTGTTTTTTTAATAAAAAAATTATTGGCCGTATCCTAGATGTACCGTGGCCGTGGCCGACTGAATTCACTATTCAGGACACTTCTAGCCATGTCGGACACGTATCCGGTCGTGTCCTGGCCAAATCCGTGTCCGATACTACCACGGCATCCCGTGAGAAGTATCCGTACTTCCTAAATTCAAACCCTAGAAAAGGAGGGGCCGAATTATTTAGATCTTTAGTTTTTCTTATTCAAAACAATTGTTACTTTTCATTTCTAGGAGATGAGCAGTACCCCTCTACTGCACTGCTTCTTCTCTACTAATAAATTACTAATGAAACATCAAAATAACTTCCCATCAGCATATCATCATAGAAAATAGCTGTTGGCCACATCTGTGCAGAATATATGAAGGGGAAGTGGATAGTCTAATGTTTAAATGAAACTAATGCACCAACCTTCTGCCGGAAAGGTAGACTTGCTGTGTTTTGAGGCCATTTGGGCACGATGATCCGTGGTCATCTTCAGGAGATGCTCCTGTATATACTCAAAGCTTAAATTCACATATTCATATATGAGAATGAAAGATGATATGCTATGAGTCCTCACACGAAGTGGCTCCTGAATAAAGGAAAAGATTCAAAGAAGTCCAGAGAGACAAAATTACATACCTTTAAAACATTCGGGTCATGACGTCCAGAGAAAATGTCTGCACTATCCTCAGGAGTCCCATTCGCATCTCTTGCTTCCCTGAATTAACACATATGCAGGTATATCAGAACCACCTTGTAGCTTCAACATTTACCAGTAAATTATTCACTAAAAGTAAATCAAACAAACCTTTGACTATGAATAATTTTTTGGGTGGCAATTTCCTGTAAGTTACAGACAAAGACATTTCAATTGCATCAATTAGAAAAGGGGAAAATTTAATATGTAGTGAAGCCTATTCTTTAAAAGACATACTTGTTCCTGCAGCACAACATTTTGGGCGGCAGATTCAATATCATTGACACTTCCCGATCCCTGCTGAGAACCATTAGATTCCGTTTGGGGCTGCATTATACCATGGACAACCCCTGCTGAGATCACTGCAACAGGAAAGAGGTTACTCCCAGCATTGCGAGCATGGTAGTCAGAACTAATGTAGTTCTGAAGTGGTTGAGGATCAGGCTGGGCAGATGGAATCCCAAAAGGAGGAGACTGATTGACTTTATCACCCATAAGCTTCATATATTACATATCACCATAAATCTCTAGTAATTCCAAAATAAAAAATGTCAAAGTCGATATAGCTGGAATGTTAACAGTAATGACAGGAACAGGAAGCAGGCAATGCCTGCATAAAAGTCCATCTTCAAATAGTAAGTCTACATATAAAACCCCATTTTGGCATCATATACTGTACTTAGTACACAGAGAGCCTCTGCATACAAATTACTGTGACAAGCTCAAACATTCACTATTAGAGATAACCAATTTTTTCATAGAATTTACATCTAGTTCCTCAACTAGACATGAATGTGGATGTTGACCATGATAGAAAAAGACACAGATGTAGAGACCGCATGCACAAAAATTGTAAAGGAGAAACTTATCTCTTGAATTTTCTAGGTCAACAGACACTGTTATACTAAACACAGGAACAGAAACATGATGTCAGAATCTTGAATCTTCCACACGTAGTTGGAGCAATGCTTTGTTGATTGATTTGAAGAGTAGAAGGTAAGAACTTGACCACAATTTGATCATATCACTTAGCTTAAACCCACATACTTCAGGTATAAAGCGAGCATAGTTGACTCGAGCTCAACTCAGTTTCTGACTTGCTCAAATTAGCTCATGACAAAACAAACTGTAGGTTTGTCATAAAGGAGGCCAATCATAAGTAACTGCCTGGTTAACTCATTAGGCTTTGCTGGTGAGCACATCTTATGTAGCTAAGTAAATGACTGATAACATTTTTGACTTGTGTGGTAGGTGGTCAACAAGAATATCAGGATAAAACAACAGTTGTACCACTTCAGATTCACCATTACTGATTTTCTAAAAGCAGCATAATCTGACTCGGAAAGGCTGTCTTCTTTACCTGTGCAACAACGTCATACTTATAGGGACTAAAAGGTCCTTGACTTTGCATTGGCGCACTGAAATTTGCTTGCATCTTAAATTTAATGACTATAGAAACCTCAACTTTGTAAAGGAATGAAGCCAAGTAAGTCAAGCAGAACACTGCTATATATCCTACAATCTAAGCTCAAGCAGTGTTCAATAATATGGGGCCGAGGTCAAGCTTCACTGATGTTCTACTGAGCTAAGCTTGAACAGCCAGGTAGTCAACTCAGCTTAGCCCATTAAACCCCTAATCAGAGACTTGTATGAGTTGTCTCAGGGACATTTTCAGAGACCCTCTATCCCCTGCAACATGCAAGACAAGGCCACTCTTTTAACATGATTTACGCCTGTTAACCAATTTTTTCCCGCCTTATACGCAATTCATGCTAACTCTAACAGCATGTTTGGACTAGGCATTCCAAATTTTTTTTGGGTGGGGAGGGAGGGAGAGGGAAGGGGAGACTTGAACATTTGACCTCAATAAAACTTGAACCTTTGACCTTTGAAAAAAAATTCTTCTCCATATGCAAATTCCAATAATTCATACTTTCAAATAAAGCAAATTTTATCTCATTCTGATTTTAGATTCCCAAGGTTTTAATTGCTAGAGAGGATTCTCAGCCTACTTACCCCCACAACCCCACCCCTAAACCTTCTTCAATCTTTGTAGTCTCTAATCAGTCATGTTTCCGCCTCTATCTCCACTTTCTCTCTCTGCATTTCCTCTCTCACTGTCCAAAGGTGTAACATACATACACAAGCTTTTTAATCTCCAAAAGCAGCTTAACTACTAAAATATGATCCTCTCTTCTATTTATTATCATGCTTTATATCAAAACATTCTCCTTTCTTAAATTCTCAAGGCATGGCCACCACAGTTCGCAATTCATCTTCGGACCAGGAAACCGACTCACATGGATGAAAAACTAAGCATGAAGCTCAAAATATCAACCCAATAAGGGAAAAAGTAATCTATCTATAAATTTTTAACAAACAATTTAGAGGTGAGAAGGCTTGGGAAGCCTTACCTACTCATAATCTAATTTATTAGAATTTAAAATTTTTTAGTTCAAAACCTAAGACTCCGTCAAATATATTCTACCATGTGTCATTTGTAATTACCCTCAACTCCTCAATAACTAGCCCTATTTTTTAAAATATATTAAAAAAAATTTAAATTTTATCACCCAAAAACTTTCTATAATTGTTTATCTAACTTCTCAAGTGATTAAAAAAAAGGACACGAATCATAATCCCGTACATCGCACAGGGCAGGTCGCTAGTGGATAATTATGAAGCAGCCTGCTCTTTTGACAGTTATAAAGCGCCTAAACCACCCAAACTTCAACTATTCAGACTATTTCCAAATTGAGCAGGGCCAAATTTTACAATCATTTTCCTATTTCAAATTGTATACATTTAAATTCTTTATATAAGTATGTGTGTGTGTGTTCAAAGGCACAATAATTCGATTGGCAGAGAAGAGAACATATTCTATTATAATCAAAACTCCAAAATTCTCATCCACACAGCGTCTAAGGCCTTCAAAATCAAGACACTGTTCGAAGTATATTTGCTGCTCATAGAAAAAAAAAATAGAATATCTGTGAAGCCTAATGAAGTATAAATATGAAAAGCGAAGTAACAGACCTGGAGGAGGAATTTAAAGGTAGAGGATGTTTCGATGGGAGAATTTTCCCGGAAAATAGGCGAGAAAATTGTTGAGAAGGAAAGTTGATGGCACTCCAAGCGACTTCTGGTTGATTTCTTTGGCCGAAGAAACTGGTAGTTCCGAGTTAGGAGGCGGTTAAGTGGTTCGAACCAGTGTCCAGAAGCGCGAAGAGTGGAGGGGGAGCGGGGGGGGGGGGGGG